CAGATGAGAGCTCTCCATGTGTTAAGACAACTTGCAAAACACTCATTACAGTGACCTCAAAGGTGTATAAATGGGCACCTCTCTTCATGAAAAAAAGGGGCAGGGCAGATAAGAGTTGGGCATAGATTTGAGCTTCATTTCATTACTTTTTCTCTGTAAACAAAGCTTTTCTCCATTCTTTGTACGCCTTATAGGCAATATCATAGAAATAATCAAAGAATAATACAACCACAGTGGACGTAGGATTTGCTTTAAGCATCCAAACCACTATAAAAACCTCTATTGTCTATCTATTATTTATGTTTTCTGCAAACATATATAATCTCAACACTATGTTTAAATCTCATGAATCTATCACGTGTAGTTTCTAAAACTCTCTTAGCATTTTGCACGTGTGAGTCGTTGGTGTTAAAATCAAGCATCAACAGTTTGGTGGCCCATGCAGGTCTCCAACCTGCGTCCAAGCTCTCAGATCGTGTGGTCAAATCGTAGATTGCACGCATCAAAGCTCTCGAATCTCGTGACCAGATCGCAGATCGCACGCATCAAAGCTCTTGAATCTCGTAGCCAGATCGCAAATCACACGCATAAGAGTTCTCGGATCGCACTGTCAGATCACAGATCACACATATTGGAGCCCTCAGATTGCGAGGCAAATCGCAGATCGCACGCATCAAAGCTCTTGGATTGCATGGTCAAATCGCAGATCGCACGCATCAGAGTTCTCAGATCGCGTGCCAAATTGCAGATCGCATGCATCAAAGTTCTCAAATCACGTAATCAGATCGAATGTATAAGAGTTCTCCTATCGCGTGGTTAGATCGCAGATCGCACGTATCAGAGTTCTTCGATGGCGTGGTCAGATCGCAAATCGCATGCATCAAAGCCCTCAGATCACGTAGCCAGATCATAGATTGCACGCATTAGAGTTCTCATATCACGTGGCCAGATCACATATTTCACGCATCAGAGTTCTCAGATCGTGTGGTCAGATCGCAAATCGCATGCATCAAAGCTCTCCAATCGCATCGTCAGATCGTAGATCGCACGCTCAGATCATCTAGATCGTGCGTTCAAGATCATTGAGATCACGTGTTTAGATCACCTAGATCGCATGGCCAGATCGTAGATCGCACGCTCATATCATCTAGATCGCGCATTCAAGATCGATGAGATCACACGTTAAGATAATTTAGATCGCGCTTCCGAGCGCTTAGATCACTGATCTCGAGTTCTCATATAAAGCTCTGCACTTTCTGATCAAATTTCTTCTGTTCTCAGATTAAACTCTGCGCTTTCTGATCAAACTTCTTGTTCTCAGATCAAGCTTCATGCTTTCTGATCGAACTCCTTCTGTTTTCTGATTGAACTCCTTAAGCTCTTAGATTGTAAAGAGCTTTCCGAAATTTTAGATCAAGCTTCTTATGATCTCAGATCGAGCTCTTTATGATTTCAGATGGAGATCTTATGATCTCAGATCGAGCTATTTATGATCTCAAATCGAGCTCTTTATGATTTCAGATCGAGCTCCCTATGATCTTAGATCGAGCTCTCTATGATCTCAAATCAACCACCTTATGCTCTCTGATCGAGCTCCTTATGCTCTTTGATCGAGCTCCTTATGCTCTCTAATTGAGCTCATAAGCTCGCTCGTTTACTTGAGATCGTGTGCATCAGATCATTCAGATCGCACGCCTCAAACTGTCAGGTCAAGCTCCTATCAGATCGTGATCAACTCCTAGCTCTCAAATCACGATTAGCTCCTCGTTCTAAGATTGCGAACAGCCTCAATTCGTGTTCTCAGCTCTCAGATTGTGATCAGTTCTCAGTTATTAGATCGTGACCATCTGCCAGAGTTAGAAAAAACACGTAGAAACCTCAAAACATCCTCAAAACATGCCGAAACAGTGGATTTTGGCCCTGAAAATGGCCCCAACTGGGTTCCCAATTACCACGATGCAAAGCTCAGAACAGACTTTACGTGGATATCTTACAGGCTCCAAAACTCCTCCCTGATCAAAAGTTATGGCTGTTTTAAGTTGGCTTATCCGTTTAAGGCCTCTAAGCTGTACGTTTGGGTTTCTGACGTTAGCTCCCTCCAAGAATTCATTTACTAGACATTTCATGTTAGTTATCAGATCGTGCTCAGCTTCGGATCACTCCAAGCTCTCAGATCGAAATCCTAGCTCTCAATATTAGATCGCGCCAGGCATAGTTTAAGCTCTTCAATTCGAGACTGTAGCCTATAGTGCGACAACCATTCAGATCAAAGACCTGAGTTTTTGAAGCGTGATTATGCACTCCAAAAACTGGGGGGTTCTGTTGTGCCTAAAAAATCACACTAATGTCAGCTCAACAAGTGCCTAAAAGACAAAGTGTACTAGCTGTCAAGCCCATACCGCCTTAAAGATATTTATACTAACCCTATCTCATTTTAAGAGATGGACGGATGAGCTCTCTCCATGTGTCAAGGCAACTTGCAAAACATTTATTACATTGACCTCAAATGTGTATAAATGGGCACCTCTCTTCATGAAAAAAAGGGGGCTGGGCAGATAAGAGTTTGGCATATATTTGAGTTTCATTTCATTATTTTTTCTCTGTAAAGAAAGCTTTTCTCCATTCTTTGTACGCCTTACAGTCAATATCATAGAAATAGTCAGAGAATAATACAACCACAGTGAATGTAGGATTTGCTTTAAGCATCCGAACCACTATAAAAACCTCTCTTGTCTATCTATTATTTATGTTTTCTGCAAACATATATAATCTCAGCACTATATTCAAATTTCATGAATCCATCATGTGTAATTTCTAAGACTCTCTTAGCACTTTGTACGTGCGAGTTGTTGGTGTCAAAATCAAGCGTCAATAGAATCTTACTTACTTAAACCCTTAAAACTTGGGAGTTATTTTAAGGGTTTAACTATTTTTAAAAGAGTAATGCTACTATGTATTGGATTCAAATCTATTTCTAACAAACTAATATGCAATCCCATATAATAATTAATGTATATCTATATAATTATTAAAAACTCCAAATATTATAAAAAAATTGCTCAAAGCTCTTAATACTTATTACGGTCTCTTGTAAGTGAATAAAATTTACCTTACTTTTTTTTTTTTTTATTTATGATTGCCAAAATAGTTTTTCTTAAACATCATTTTTATTAAAAATACAAATAAATGTACTTGAAATTCAAATTGAACTACCGTGGTTGAGTGGTTCGACAAGAACTATTGGGTGTATTACAAAGAGGTCTTGAGTTTGAGTCTCTCCTTAGTTGCTAATAGAGGTAGCCACTAGAGCTCCTACCCGTCGGTAATTCCAGGGTCCTAAGAGATTAAATCAAGTACGCGTAAACTGGTCCGACTACTCCCGATCATCAAAAAAAAAAAAAAATTCAAATTGAACTGAAGACGTTATAAATATTCGTGAAAGCTCCCATACTCACAAGATTGATCAAAGATCTAAAAGAATAGAAGAAGATGATTTATTTGAATATTTTCATCTTTATAATGTTTTGATCGACGATAATTTACACTAATCAAAGAACAATAAAATTTACTTATTTTTTGTCATAATTATTTAGTCATGAAATATATTTTACAAGGAGTATTTTATGACAACTTTAAATCACTTTTAAATTTATAGAAAAATCAACAGCATGATATTAATTTATTTTATATTTCAAATTCAAATCTAGGAGATGCAATGCATAATGCATATACAAATATTAGAGTAATATTTACTATTAAGATGAATATCATATACACCTCGAAGGTTTATCGTCAGATTAGGCTCACCCTAGTCCTAGTGATAAAAATATCAAAGAAACAAATCATGAAAGAATTGGCCACTCATCCGTCAAATCATATGTATATTAACCAATTTATCAAAATTCTGAATCTCATAGGGATGAGCACAGGTCGAGTCGGGGCTGGATCAGGGCCCTGTTCCTTGTCCCCGATCTCCACTCCCGTGTCTGTCGTCAGGGTCAAGGACAACTCTCATGACCATCGTCGGCTTGGGGGATAGAGTCACTCCCATATTAATTTTTCATAGAATTAATATAATTATATCTAATTTTAACATACTTTACTAGGTAAATTGATTAATTATTCAATTGCATGGAGGCTTAGGCTTAGTTAGCCCTATTAGTTAATTAATTGTTCAAAAAATTAATATAATTATACTCAATCGTAACGTAATTTACAAGGTAAATTAATTAATTATTCAATTGTATCCGTGCTTAGGCTTAGTTAATTAATTAATTTTTCATAGAATTAATATAACTATATTCAATTTTAACATAATTTACTAGGTAAATTGATTAATTAATTATAAAGTATTATCTCCACTATAACTAATAAAATTAGTCAATTTGTGAAAGAGACAAATCCTATTATCTCAAGTTCCCAACATTGATTAAGTTTAACATCATAGTTGATTGATCAATTAATTAATTAAAAGGATAACTGTATTTGTGTAATTTATAAGTCGTTAACGTTAAGCAATTATGTATATTCTTATATGTAAATTGTAATGATCTAATCAAATTTATTTTTAGGATATGTATTATTATTTTGTGAAATTCACAAAATAATAATACATATATTTAATTATTAAACTCCCTCATTTAAATTATTTTTTCTATAAATTTAATACAAATATTATAAAGTATTATAAAAGTAAATATATTACTTAATTAAAATCATGATTTAAATTCCAACTCTATATACAATCTTGTAAAGGAAATTAAAAAACGAAAAATTTTTATTTAAAAACGTAAAATTCTTAATAAAAGAATAATATGCAGGGCGGGTCTTTGAAAGACTCGAAACGGGCGAATAAGAAGGAAACGGGTGCGGATCCGGATGATGAGGATAAGAAAAAGTCGTGAGAGGATACGAAGGAGCAATTTTTTCAAAGGGTATGGAGCGAGGAGGATGAAATTGGTGTATTGAAGGGGTTGATTGCCTTCACCACGAAAAAAGGGATGGACCCGTATCAAGATACGAATGCTTTTCATGATTTTATCAAGAAATCACTTCACGTGGATTTTACAAGAACTCAATGGATGGACAAGATTAGGAGATTGAAGAAGAAGTATGAGAACAATCTTGGCAGAGGGAATAAAGGTGAAGATAGGAATGTTTCGAAGCTCCATGAACGACACGCTTATGATTTGTCTAAAAAGCTATGGGGCAATGGAAGTACTAATGGTGTCCTTGAATCGGTGGAAAACATAACGCATAAGCTAAAAAGAATCAAAACCAGAAAGAGAGTACTGAGTCCTTAGCTCTTTTCAAAGCTGAGTTGAATGATGGAGCTAAGGAAGGGGAGAAGATGGATATTGATAATGATAAGAGAGGGAGCCTGAGCAGTGAAAAAGAGATGCTTTTGTTTGATAAGAGTGTTGGGATGGCTGGTTTGGAGGAGTTTGTAATCAGCCAAGTTTTACATATGATTGGAAGGCAGGTGGAAGAAGCTGCAGATTGCTCAGTTGCAGTTGTTTGTGGAGTGGAATGATTTGATTAAGGAGCAGACTAAGTTGATTTTGGAGGCCATGAAATCATCTGGTCATTAGGTTGTTTCGTGGTATAATTTATGCTTTGTGTGGTGGTTGTTTTGAGAGTGACTAATTAAGCTATTAATGTTTTGTGTCTGGTGTTAGCCAACTGTGGAATTCTGTGATATTTGTGATTATATCATTCTCTTGAAAAGAGGGTAGTCTAAAGTCTAAACTTGAGGGGTTTTGTTTCTTTGATAATTTTATTACTAGTAGGGCGGGATTAATATTATTATAAGCCTTAGGGGCGTACATAATATTTATAAAATAAACTAAAATTAATATTTGTGTTATTGTGGATGTAACTCCTATATCATGGACTCAAACAACTATTTCAAGTTGAATATTAGTTTTAATATTTCTTTTAATTTAAAATTGAGATAATTTCTAATGCCCCTGCAAGTTTCCTAGCCTATATCGTAGTGCAAAAGAAACAGATGGTGATCCCAGGCATGGTGATATATGTGTGATCACTGTTGGACGTTTATCACTAATTACATAAGTGATTATATATATATATAGTAAAACCTCTCTATAGTCATAATGTTAGGACTAACTAATTTTATTACTATAAAGAAGTTATAACTTAATAGAGGTGTAATTACAAAAATTATTGTTTTTTATTTCTTATTTTATAATTCATGTTTTAGTAGTACAGTATTAAGATTTCGATTCATATTTTAGTAATATTAGGATTTCAATATAGCATTTCAATTACCTACTTTTGAAACAAATAAAAGATTGTTTCTTAGAACCAATAAAAATAAGTATCATTGATGAAACTGTAAATACAGTTGATGCATGATCAATTGATGTGAAGCCACAGACAATTGTCAATGGTTTTAAGCACTGCAAAATTAGGAGCACTAATACCAATGAATTGTAAGTTACAAATGAAGTGGATGAAGAGAATAAAAGAGTCAATATAGAATTGAGTGATCAGATCCGACAGATTCACTATACTAATCGAATGGATAAAAATGTCTTCTTCAATTATCCAAATGAGCAACAAATCGTGTATACTTTAACCAAAGGAGAAATCATTGTTGCAATTAGACAAGAAGAGAAATGAAATAATCCTAAAGATAATAGTATGGAAACACAAAAAATCTTGTGTCATGAAGCTCTAAAAATGCTTGAGAGACTAAAAATATTTTGGCTTCAACAAAAAAGTATACATGCTAACGAGCTATTACGTACTCGTAAGGTAAAAGATGTGATAACAACTCTAAAATATAAATCATTGTCCCAAACAATTTTAAATAAATATTTTATTTCATTTTAAACCTTTAATTTTACATAACATATATTTTTTTGTAAGATACAGATAATTATTACTATGTAGAGGCAACTTTCCTTAAGGCGAAAATTAGAAAAATTATAACTTATTACAATATAGAATTTATTCTTATTTATAACTATCCCAAATTGGGACTAGAATTTTTTATGATTATGTAGAGTTTATTCCTATATAGAGTATCACTATATAGAGGTTTTACTCTATATATATGTGTGTGTGTGTGTGTTTAATTATTTAATGATATTTGTTTACAAGAATTTGAAGGAAAGGGATGTTAATTGTTGCAGTTTCGATTATCATCGTATCAGTGCTAGTGAGATTATTTAAAAAAATGTAAAGTTGAAGAGTTTTATGAGCTCTGAGATTTTTGGGATGGGCGCAGGCCAGGTCTGGGTTTTTTCGAGGCTAGGTCGAGGGCATGTTAAGATTAGATATAATTATATTAATTCTATGAAAAATTAATATGGGAGTGACTCCATCCCCACGGGCCAAGGACGATCATGAGAGTTGCAGGGGCATTAGAAATTATCTTAATTTTAAATTAAAAGAAATATTAAAACTAATATTCAACTTGAAATAGTTGTTTGAGTCCATGATATAGGNCAATGGCAAAGCGAGGGGGCCTCCCCTGGACAAAAATCCTGGGTTCGCCACTGGGTTCAGCGACTAACTTTACCTCGGATTCAATAAATTTAACTGGTAATATTATTCTAATACTTTAACTATTAACATATTTCATAGAGAAAGAATCAAATTGTTTGTTTGTTGATATGAAATTCAAAGAGTGTGGTCAAGCTTAAGGTGGTGAGATCAATGGAAGATTTGATGAAAAAAACAATGATAATATTAAATACAAGATACTCATCCTCTTTTTTTTTTTTTTCCTCGGATAATTGGTGTGTTTGGGCCAGTTTACGCATACCTCAAATAATCTTCTAAGATTTGAGATGAGTCAAAACTCTAATGCCTAGATAGTAGATACCTATTTCATTTCATTTTACATTCACAATAATATAATGTTATTTAAATTAAAAATAATTTAGAATTTTGTATAATAAGGACAAATGAGATTGGTAGGTGAAAATGGTTAACAAATGGGAGTTAACTCTAATCAATCAATCAATCATTCATTAATTAATCAAACACCCAACTTAGGATTCTTTTAGCTCCTGTTGGGCCCTTTAACCTTCCAATTTCAATCAATTTTTTTAAACCCATTTTTCTTAACATGCTAAAGACTTGACATTATTATTATTATTATTGAATTATTAATACCATAACTTGTATTTATTCACTTGAAAACAATTTCAAAAACCACTTTTGAAAAAGCATCTATTAGTTGTATTCCTGGAAGCAATCCTGATACTTTCCGACCAAACAAAGTTTTCCACACATCACTTTTATAAAAGTATTTTTGGATATTATTTTTAAGTGCTTTTAATAGTTTAAAAGCACTTCCAAATAAAATCACTTCTAAACAAATCATTAAAATAGAGTAAAACTTGTACAATTCACATCAAATACCAATTCAAAACACCCTAAAATCAAATTATTCTCACTGTTAAAAAATAAGTACTTGAGGATAATTTAAAAAAAAAAAAAAATCATAAGAATATGTTGCTGGAATTCTTTCATAATGTTACTTTTTTATTTTTGATGACCCGGATGTTCGGATTAGAGTCCGGGCACCTCAACTATACTTGGGCCAACCTCTTGGGGTTTTACAATGTTATATTCATAGTTTCTGGTTGACTGTATCTTCCATATTATATCCCAAGTAAACTTCAGCAAGGAACTTGACAAAAAACCTTTTGGTACCAATCACCCGCAATTGCATGTCTTGCCTGGACTAGGCAAGCCAAAGAAGCTTAACTGATCGAAATTGGGTAAACTTAAGTTAAATGGGAATTAATACCAAGGACAATTAACTCATACCATGAATCAGGCTCTGCATTATACTTATACACGTGGCATAGAGTTCAATGATCAAAGAACACTCCAAATGAAATGAACAATCATGCAATAAAAAGGAAATTCCAATATTATAAGAAAAACTGCGATCGCATATGCAAATTATTACAGTGGAATTGACAGCAATATAGAAAACAAATCGCAAGCATATAAAGTTCATACGAGATAAAGGAACCACAACAGTACAGAAACAATGAATACACAAAATATCAGAGCATGATTTATCTGCTGCTGCAGTTTTGGAAGATTACTCTTCCGTCCTAGCAACCGCTGGTGTAGTTGCTGCTCAATATCTCCAACACTATATTGTTGGCCAATCAACTGATTCTGCAGCATGTTTGCAGCTTTTGAAAGTCGCCCCATTAGCTGCTGCTGCTGTTTTTGTGAAGGCATCATTGACGGCAGTGTTATAGGTGCTGCTGGTTTTGTGAAGGCAGCTTTTGACGGTATATGCTGTTGTGGGTTCTGCGATTGGTGTTGTTGCAGCTGGGGAAGAACCTGTAGCATTGCTTGCATTTCCCTCTGAGAATTGGCAAAGAGGTTGGAGGGCACCCCTTGTCCCATTGAAGGTGATGTGTCTTGTGAAACACCAGATATAGTTTGCATGGTGGAATTTTGGTTTACAACACTGGGGATTGGAGTCTTTGTTAAACCAGAGACAGAAGGAAGCAAAAACGGCAATCCAGAAGAACCCGGAAGTCCAGTTGATGTCATGTTATTCTGAATGTACTGGGAGAACAGCTGTTGGCATGGCTGAGACTGATTAGCTGACAATGGGATAAGAAGTGATTGCCCTTGGTTTTGCATGCCAGCCCCTATTTAAAATAGGAAAACCAAAGAAAGAATAAGATATACCAACCAACTTAAGAGGGATAAAACATCCCAGAAACATAACCATGAAAGCAGGTAACAGTATTAAAAAGGTCATTTGAACACCAAGATAAACAAAATGGTATTTGAGATGGATTTAGATTCAGAGTGGACAAGAAGCTGCTCTGTAGCACTGGACTTGCCTGAAACGGTTGTCAAGGACTTACCATGAGTGCCATCTGGACCAGTAAACTCAGCAAGCAAAGGTGCTGCTGATATCCCAGGAGTGCCAATTGCAACAGACATTGCTGCTGCTTGTGTATTAGAATTCAGTTGATGTGCGATATTTCCAGCATTTGCTTGTGAGGAAATACCAGAAATTGGTTTATCAGAATCCTCAGGCATGGGCGAGGGTGCCAAAGGTGTTGAAGGAGATGGCACGACAAAAGGAGAGCTTGCAGATTGCAAGGGGGTTCCAGTTTTTGTGAGTGATGAAAGCAGATTCTGCTGGTCGACCTGCGGAGAAGAATGTTGGGGCATTTGAGGGGATGCAGCCTGAACCATTTGGGGAGAAGAAATAGGAAATGTAGCTTCCGGTTTCATCTGCTGATGGGGATAGACTGAGCATTGGCTCGATGGAAGATGTTGCTGAAAGACCCCAGGATTGACACCCATCCCCTGTCGCACCTTCATGTCAATCACATCATTCATCTGATGCAGCTGTGGCATTTGATGCGTCTGCATCTGCCCCGGCAGCTGCTGCTTTGCTTGCTGGTGCAACTGCTGCTGCTGTTGCTGTTCCATTAGCCGTTGCTTCTGCATCATTTGATGCAGTATGTGGAGCTGTTGCATTTGTTGTTTGAGCTGTTGGGACTGCAGAATTTGTTCCTGCTCCTGTTTCACATGCTGGTGTTGTAGCATATTTGAATTTGACTGGAGGGGATTAATATTTGACGGCAGCATATTAACTCCACATTGTGATGACAAAATATTCATGTTTGCCTGTTGAGAAGTACCCACAGAATTTTGTTGTAGAGATCCAACAGAAACCTGATGCAATGAGTTCAGTGAATTTCCTTGTCCTGAATCCAAATTGGAACCTGGCTGCAAGGAATTTAACATGTTTTGTGATGCTGCTGAGACCCCCGACATAGAAGACATAAAATTATGATGCATATTTGTCATATTGTTCCGTGGCATTGTTCCAACAGAACCTTGTAAGCTCATTGATTGCATCTGTGGGTTCATTTGATTGTCATGGGGCTGAACTTGAGTAAGTTGTGACTGTGGCTGCTGCATGGAATGCATATGAGGTGGGGAAAGTTGCCCTGGCTGCAGTGAAGAAACAGGCTTCCTGGGCCTATTTGTATTTATAAAATTGATAATCTGCTTCTCGTAGGAACCCAGGTTTTCCCTAAAATTAGGTGAGATGTCACTTTTGGACACCTGTAAGAATGTTATAATACGCTCCACCATAGTCTTAAAAATTTTCAGCTTCTCAAGTTGCCCCGACTTTGGTTGTTGAGGAAGAGAATCATGCTGGCAAGCAGAGAGAACACCAGTTTACAGGGTAAGAACCAGAATCCAATAAATGGAACAAATAACAAATTAACAAAATGTTTGAGCCAACATGTTGGTAAAAAAGATATTTGTTTTCTTCCTTTAAAGAGAAAAGTAAAAGATGTACTAAAAAAAACAGGTGAGTTAAAATTGATTAGCAAATGACACCTAAAGATGCATGCTATTAACTCCAGAGCTAAGATGAAATCCCAGTAAAGAATATGGTTAGGCATTAATTTTCAAGGAAATATACAAAAACGAATCATTTACCTGCTGCAATTTAGTAGCAATTTTGTTATACATATCATTTAATTCGGGAAAATACATGTCCTTCATGGCTTTAATCTGCAAAGTAAAAATTTTGCAAGACATCATTGTTAGATTCATCATTTTTTTCAAAAAATAATAGTAGTTGCATATACAATCATGAGTTATTGAGAATTCTTTCACAATGGTAAAATCCTTGTTCTAATTGGTTATTCCTGTTGTGCTAGCTACTACAGTCATGCCATATGGACTGGTTATTTCCAATCCAAAATTTCAACCCTATAAAAACCTATGTCCACACCTTCAATATTTTCTTTCAAGTATTATAAGTAAACTTCATCTAAGGGACATGACAAACAAAGTACCTTTTGATAGACCTCCTCTTGCCAATCACCCCCATTTGCTTGTCCAGTCTGGGCTGTGGAATCTAGAGATGCTAACATTATAAAAATTGTGTACATGTAAGTTAAATGGGAACTAATTACAAGGAAAAATAATTGAGAGAAACATGAGTCAGACTCAGGTCACCACGTCTCTAGCAAAAGGAAAATTATTATTATTCATGTACCATACAGTTAAATGATCAGAAAACACTCCAAATGAGATGAAGAAATCATGCACGCCACCTAAATTTCCAATAGCATTAGCCAAATGTGACAGAGGATGGACAGGAACACAGATATCAAATCACAGGCAAATAGGCAATTTATATGATATAAATGAACCAAGGAGTATAATGAAATAGGGTTGATGTAGGATGAGTTTTAGTTATTTTACTTTTCTTGTTTAGAGTCATAATTATTTTCCTATATTAATTAAGTTTCATAGTTTAGGTCAACTTAGATTAGTTAAACTTGGTTTTCCTAATTGAATATTATTTCTTCTTCTTCTTTAACGAGGAACTTTGGTTACTAAGGAATTGTATTTATCTTATTTGAGTAGTATCAGGAATGGTCAACTATAAAAAGGGTTGTTATGTTACAAGCAACTCATGGTTTATCGATATATTTTTGAGTTCCCTTTGGGATTTCTTGTCTGTGGATTTGACATCCTTAATAAAGCTATGTGTTTCCGCTTTGGCAAGGGTTCACCAGAAAACCATTAGTCCAACAAAAACATTAGAGCATCAATTTCTCCCACAACAAGAATAAATACAAAGACAGCATTTATGCACTCTTCCCACAAGAAAGATGACAAAACAAATTTACTGCTTCTCACAATCAACCACATATACCATAATCCCTAGACACTCAACCGGATAAATTACAAAGTCTTGAGTAAGAGAAAAGAAGGTCACAACGAATTATAAAGATTTTCTTCCACTGCATGGTTAATCATGAGGTGTAAATGCCAAGATTAAAAGGTAAAGCTGTTGAGGCGTCAACTCACACACTTAAAAATTTAAATTCAAACCACGTCTCAATATAAGCAACTCTAGAAGTGAAGGAACACACCAATTTGGAATATATCCAAACACAAGATTACAGACATACTAGTCTATATCGACATATCCATTGGTGTCAGTTGCATACATACTTGTCATTTACTGATTTTGATGAAATCAAAGAATTTTAATACAAAAATCATATTTGGGTGGGATAATGTATGTCTGTGGAAAATTTTCAAAAATTTCCAGACATGGATTAAGAATAGACAAGGAAATCCACCATTAAAAGGGTGAAATTTCATTTGTTTTTGCGGCGGGGGCAGAGAAGAGGAGGAAGGGAGAAGAAAATAATGGAATTTTATTTCACCTACCCCTACCCTATGGTTTGGCCAAATTACACAGCCCTCCCGATTTGGGAACTTAACAAGTCACTCTAGGGAATCAATTATCTTTTTAAATGGCATGTGCAATTTCATACTGCCAAAGATGTTGTGCATCTTGTTATTTTTTTTATCAACACAGAATCTATGTATTCTACACAAGGAATAAACAATCAGTTATAGTGAATAATACATGTTTAATATGTTAAACTACCCTAAATCCATTGAGTGTAACATCTAGTATGGTATCTACTTAATACCTTAAGCTTTTGGTTGCATCTTGCCAATAAAAAATACTTCCAAACTTTAAAATATACATTGTCGTTTCCAGGGTACGAACATTTTTGGGACAAGTTTGATGCACGACACCTTGTGTCCTTCTCAAAACACAAAGCATGTCATCAATATCTAAAAGCTGTAGATTATTAATTGGATTACTATAATTGAGATGATAATTCATGCATTCATGACATGTTTGAATAGATTTAACCAACTCTACCAGCCAAGAAGCATGATGGAATAGACCAAATTGCAAGTGAAGTTTTCAATGTCTTAAGAGAAGAACTCTGAAGAATGTTATCACCTTGATCCGGCGGTTTGTTGCTATTACCAGTGGCATTGGGTGGCAAAGAATTAGGCATAGGATTTTGAGATTTTGACTCCATTGAAAGCATCTTCAAAGATATTTTCCGCAAATAATCTGACTGAAATTTGAGATAAATAAAAAATTTCAAATCTCATAGTACTTTAAATTCCAAAATCTCTCACACACACCAAAAAAAAAAAAAAAAATTAAAAAAAAAAAAAATTGACGTAATGGTGCGAATGCACTATTAGACATAAAGAAACAAATAAACAAATAAAAGAAATGATCTAAAAAACTAACAAATAAGATGACAAAGGTTCAATATGGTAAGAAAATCTTCCTTGGAAAGCTCCATGGTATGATGAGAGGCAAAAGCTCCATGGCATATCTATAGATTGATGAACATTATATAACTCAGATAAAATTTTTACCTGACTTGTTGCAGCAGTATATATCTTCTCCTCAAACCTTCCAGCAATTTTCTTGAGTTCATTCAATCCCTCTTGACCGGAAAAAGGAAGATGCCTCTTCAGTGTATCCATACTGCACAGAAAAAAACATAAGTGAGTTGCTGATCATGCAAGTATTGTTCTTACTAAGAAAACCCTTACTTGGTAATCCATAATGTAATGTAACAACCGAACCATGAAAGAAATTTTTGCGAAAGCACCAACTTGAAACTAACCTTAATTTTCCATAACTTATTTAAATAAAAACCGTATATTTCATGACAGCTTAGCCTTTCATACCGAAAAGAACCAAGGAATGTTTGTACAATCACTGTTGAGAATGAAATTTTAGGTGCTATGCCCACAAATATTAGTAGCGAAATAGGAATATTCTTTCAAAGCAACTTGTTAAACTAACAGTCATATGCTAACTCAATGACTCAAATTATTTTCAGCTTCCTATTTATAATACAATTTAGTTTCAAACTCATAATGTTGCCGCCAGAAAAAAGAGAGTAGATATTAGCCAAGTGGAGTGATCATGATCCTCCATGGAAAAGAATTTGGAGTAAATAAATATCTCCTGATGTTCAAAAGAATGGACTTAATAATGACATAAGCCATGTTTATCATCACATGAGACCACATAATTCTAGAACAATAACTCCACCACGAGCAAGATGGTGACACATCAATATCTAGATCAAGACATGCCATTTTAAAATACCTTAAATCCTTTTAATTGCAGTGGAATATCTTTCACACTCCCTGGTTTCCATCTTAACTCAATACAAGTAGACATTAATGATAAGGGACTGTTAAGCAAGAAACCTCTTTTGTTATCATTGACCTGGTATTTCTCTATAGCTCACTTAGGATGGTAGTCCAAACCATATTTTTGAGACAATAATGTATTCTCATGTAGTAACATTATTAAAAATGAAGTAGTAGTCCACAATGACAGAATGCATTAAACCCTATCAGATGAATTTGTTACCCAAGTTTTATATTCGTAATCCACAGACTGGCCCCCTATCTGCTAGCTGATCCATGCTTCAATTCTCAATGTTCACAAGCTCAACTTGACAAACAACTTGTCAACAGTGGATAAAGAGTCGTTTATGGTGGTCTCACTAACTGGTGACCGACTTCTGGCCCTTTTCTTTCTTTCTTTTTTTGGTTGATTTATAAGAACTTCAATAACCATACAAATCACCACAATCGGCTATAGGATCCAAGAGTTTCCAAGGCAAATTGCAAAACTGAGAGTGTTTTTTAAGCAACAGATTAATTGCAGGGAGAAAAAGAAAAAAAGGCACTTACATCTTGTTGACAATTCTTTGTCGTGAATCAGGCTGCAAGTGATTTCTCCAATCACTAGTGTCCATGACGGGTTCTCCGCCTTGAGAAGTAGGCCTCCAATTATTGGTATCCATCAAATTCTAACCTAAAAACAAATTAGCAAACACTACATAAAAATTAAAATCCATTACAAAATAAACCTGCAAAGAAGAAAAAAGAACAAATAAAAAAGAAGAGAACGTTGATTTTGGAAAAGTAGACGTCAAAAGTGATTCTTAGGATTAGAAATACGGAACTTCAAGCTTGTGAATTTGCACGAACAAAAAAATAATAATAATAAAACACCCGCATAAATAAATAAATACCCAGATAAAAAATAATCGGAAGGAAACAATTTTCACCACAGAATTTGGGAAAAAAAAACAAAAACAAAAACATAATTCGCACGATTCTCAAGACGGATCCATGCATCAATTAAACAAATTTGCTCGTTCCAACACAAAAAATTAATTTTTTTTTTTTTATTCCAGAATAACTCATTTGAGGTCGAATTGACTAACAATTCATACCCACAAATCCAAAACGCAATACATTCTTTTGAATGATCGGTGGGACTCTGTTATCTATAATTTTCGGCAAAAAAATGAGAAAAACAAGATTATAGGAATATAAAAAGGCGAAGGTAAAGACAGCGTATATAGAAGAGAAGAAGCACCTGTGAATGGTAGTTTGTTGTGTGTGTTTCTTTATCTCTTTGTAACTCTCTCATCGAACGCTAGAGAGAGATAAAGAAAGAGACGAAAGTCTAAGAAGAGAAAGAGAAGGTGTTTAATTGTTGATTATGGATATTCCTCTATTTATATCTCATCTCCATTTAAACTGAAACGAATTTTTTTTTTTTTTTTAATTCTTTTATTTATTAGTAAACGACATGTTCCCACCCTAAGGTTTATCGAAGCTGCCCTTGGTTTCATAAATACTATATTCTTACCCTTAAATGAACGTCTTCAGTCATGGTTGGGTTCTGAGATGTCTTATTACCAAACTACCCTTCACATATTCCAAAGTCCAAACCACCACCACAACCTATTATAAACCACCTTATCCGAAACCGCCACTGTAGCGTATTCCAAACCACCCCATCCCAAATCGCCACCACAATTGGCTAAACCACCCCATCCCAAACCACCAACACCAATAGCTAGCCAAACAACCACCACCACCCATTCCAAACCAGCACCATAGCCGGCCAAACCACTCCATTCCAAACCCACCCCATCCAAACTACCATCACAATCGGCCTACTCTACAAAGCAACACCCACAAGCCCCCACCCACCTCTCCAAAAACAACACCCACCATGAAGCAAATCAACCCAACACAAGAAATGTTGAAAACCAATCAAATCAAACAAACACTCCCCCAGAACTCTCAAAAACCAATCAATTCTCTGAATCAATCATCAAAATTACCCAGTTCACCAAAAATCGCAAAGGAGAACACTAACCTCACCGCCAGCGAACGACGATTGAACGGTTGAAGGGGATATAGGGGTTTTGAAGTGTTGGAGCCACTGGTTGCAGTGGTGGTGACCAATTCTATTTTGGACGTTGGAAATGGCCAGAATTTGGTGAAGAATGATCGAATCCTAACCCTAACAAGATTGGCGAAAGGTGAGTGATCGATTGAAAAGGTGAGTGATTGGTTGAAGGGGATATGGGGGTTTTGAAGAGCTGGAGCTGCTGGTTGTAGTGGTGGTGACCAATTCGATTTTGGCAACCGAAAACAGTAAGAATTTGACAAAGAATGATTGAATCCTAACCCTAACAGTGCTGACAAACGACGATTGAACGGTTGAAGCGGATACAATGGTTTTGAAGAGTTGGAGCCGTTGGTTGAATAGGTGGTGACCAATTCGATTTTGGTTGCAGGAAACGGCCAAAATATGACGAAGAACGACTGAATCCTAACCCTAATGGTGCTGACGATCGAATAGGTCAAATAGTCAAAAAACAGAGGGCTTTTGGTAATGTGAGGGTGCTGAAGCTGATGGTGGTGTCAGTGAAGTCTAATTCTTATGGAAAACGACAAGATCGAGTGCAAGAGTTGTTCACACATGGTTGAGGGATTTGAGAACTGAGGTTATTTGACATTTTAATTTCAAATTATTGTAAAGACTATTTTAGCCTTTTAACTATTAAATAAACAAAATGATGTTGTTTTAAGGGTGAGAATCTGGAACAAATGAAACCATGGATACTGACCTTGAATTTTGCTAATCCTCGGGTGGGAACATGTCGTTTACTCTTTATTTATGTATAATAGGGTATTGTTATGGCAGTAACATTACCTGTTATAGGTGTTGATAATTTAATTTCATAGGGTTTCACTGTATATTTGTATTGGCCCAATTATATTTGACTCCTATCTTTTGCAAAAAAGTTAATTGCCACCCTACGTTGTCATATTGTTATCAATGAAGTACGTCATATGGTGTAATGACTAAACTAACCGTAAAGCATTTACTCTTGAAATTTTAAGATATTTCCTAGTTAACAATGACAAATTATTCAAAATCTTTAATACTATGAAAATTTATCATTTTTTCCAATTTCACATACAATGAATAAAAAATATCCAATATAATCAAACCCCAAATTCTTTTTAAAACAAGGGGTAACAAACTATCATTCTGCAAAAAATAGTGTAAGAAAACGTAATTCAGCTATGTTGAATTTGATTCTATAATCTTGGTGTAATAAAGTTAACCAATTTAGGGGCTATAACAATTGGTTGCTATGAGATAGCTCATTTGAAGATTAGTTGAGGTGAACCTAAGTTGGCTTAGACACCTCAGTTATAAAAAAGAAAAAAAAAATTAACCAATTTATTATCAAAATTAAAATTTAGATTGGTCTAATAAAATTTTATTTTTTTATATTATTATTATTTCAAATATTTTTTTTTTCTTTTGTGGGTTATCTTAATTTATAATTTTGTCACAACAACTGACATTATAAAATTTGGAATATTGATTTAGTATGTGTTAATTTTGCACAAGTACTTTAATAATAAAATGATAATTCCATTTTTACCTTACAGTAAGGTCAGCAACTAACTTTACCTCGGGGATCCATTAACTTTAGCTGGTAATATTATTCTAATACTTTAACTATTAACATATTTCATAGAGAAAGAATCAAATTGTTTGTTTGTTGATATGAAATTCAAAGAGTGTGGTCAAGCTTAAGGTGGTGAGATCAATGGAAGATTTGATGAAAAAAACAATGATAATATTAAATACAAGATACCCATCCTCTTTTTTTTTTTTTTTTTTTTTTTTTTTTTTTTTGTTTTTGTTTTTTTCTCCGATAATTGGTGTGTTTGGACCAATTTACGCATATCTTAACTAATCGTCTAAGATCTTAAAACTATTGATTGAATAAAAACTTTGATGGTTAGATAGTAGATACCTATTCTATTTCATTTTAGATTCACATCAATATAATGTTATTTAAATTAAAAACAATTTAGAATTTTGTATAATAAGGACAAATGAGCTGGGTGAGTGAAAATTGTTACAAAATACAAATGGCAGTCAAGACTTAAGAGTTGGTAACATGCAACTGATTAAGACTCTTATCAACCAACCAATCAATCAATAGTTAATCAAACAGCCAACTTATGATTCCTTTAACTCCTATTGGGCCTTTAACCTTCAAATTTCAACCAACTTTTTTTAACCCAATTTTCTTAACATGTTAACGACTTGACATTATTATTATTATTGAA